AGCTGAAATATTTATTTGCAAAGCAAGAGGCAATGATCTTCTGACAATGGTCAGTGACAAGGATATTTGAATCATTGTACGGACCGATTACAGGAGATTTAATCAGCTTGCTCAATAGTAGTACAAAAGTTTCTCTTTTTTACTTGTGGCTCAGTATTAAGCCTACAGGATGCACAAAGGAAGAGGAGGATGGGGACAGCAGAAATTTTAGCTACGTCATTCTCTTTCTGATGTGCTTAGTGGCTGCCTGTGCTTCCAGTTCTTACTGGAAATTTTTAAAAAATAAAATTATTTTCTGCAGTTATTTGACAGTGGCTCATCTCTCAGGTAGAGAACGAAAGAGGTACCAGAGGTCAGGAGAAGCATTTTGCCAGAGCTGCAAGGCTCTGGAGGGCACATCCCAGCTCCATGGGAGAGGGAGCTGTGCTGCTGGGGGGTAGCTCAGGTTGTGCCTCCGTGTGACACGGGGGATTGCTCAGCATGCTCTTTTCTCACTCTGAATATCTGGTGAAGGACAGTTTGGTCTAATGGGGAAAAAGCAGCATAGGAAGTAAATGGTCTAATTGAAATCCTGCACAGAGGCAGCACAGCTCTCCTTGCATGCCAGGCTGTGTAGATAAGTTTCTAATAAGAATTGAATTGTTAAGTAATAACTTGTGTCTGTTATTCTACTGTGCTTTGCACAGTTTGCCTTCATGCTGACTGTCTCCCTGTTTGATTGCTTTTAAAGTGTGACTCCTGCTTCGGGACAGGGAGAGTTCATTTTGCTTTTGTCTCAGAGTTTGGCAAGGGTTGGAATTCTGTGGATTACTGCTTTGTTGTAAAGGTTCTTGAGAGAGACATAAGAACTTAAGGTTTGTGCTAGACGGTCTTTTACTGACTTTTCCCACCTTTTGGGATCTGAGAGTGATTCTGCTTACGAAGAATCCACTTAAATTTAATATTTCTATTGACATTTTCCTCTGGGAAATGAGCTGTCTGATTCATAAAAGCCAGAGAGGAAAGGGAGCTTTGGGCTCTTACCTTACTACTTCTGTAAGAATTACTAAATAAGCTGCAATCATAAAACTGAATGTGCCTTTTTTACTGAAGATTGTTTTGACTTTCACATTAATTTTTAACTTGAGTAGAACTTCCTTTCTCCAGAACAGTGAAAACACTTTCCACTCAGTTTCCCAGAATAGGCAAGTAACTGGTAATGTTCTTGGGGGCATTTTGTGAGAAGGAAGGATTTGGCAGAAATCAAATACACAGAAAGTCTAGATGAAGAACATCCTGAAGAAGTGACTGCAGTGTCTGTGGGAGCTCCTCATGCAGAGCTCAGGCTCGTCACTGGCAGAGGGAGGTGCAGGAGCTCAGGTTGTGTCAGCACTGACACTCAGCTGGAAGTGCATATTTTTTGGAGAAGAGGTTCCTTTTTTTCCCTGGCTCTTCAGTTATTAGTTAAGCATTGTATCTTTATCATCCTGAAATAAAAGCTGTTAATGTAGGGTGTGTTTACAGTCCAGATACTCATTAGAACTCAGCATTGGTTATTTTAGGCACGGAGAATTGATTAAAAAGCCACCAAATGTATGTGTCTCCTTAGAAAGTTCTAGCTCTCTTCCATAGTTTGAGAGTCTGTATTTAATGTGATGTAATATCAGGACAACTGGATTAAAGATGTTTTCTATATATGATTTATTTTATGCAACATGATCTGGGTGGTAACATTTTAAAATTTTAAGAGAAAGAAGGGGAAATAATTTGCTTCTTATTTCAATGCTGATATTATCTGAGTAAAGCAGACATGTAGTTTTCACAACCAGAATAAGAAATGTGTTTTTGCAAAACATTTGAAAATAAAACTTTCACATTTCCAGTGATGGTTAATAAAGCAAAAGGATTATGAACTCTGTGTAAGTGGAGGAGACTTAGTAGGTCTTCGTACCAAGGATGCTTGTTTCATACTACTCATCATGCTCATATTGTTTCATTTTCTGTAAATCCTGCAGTGTTTTAGCATTTTGCCTTTTATTTATTTCTTTTGAAAGGGAGAAGTGAAGTGAATGCTGAAAGACAAGGATACATTTCGCAGTGATAAAATATTAAAATTTTGAAGTGCTCCTCTGAGCTCTTCTGACATGTTATGTGGGTGTTATTTTCTAGAGGAGAACATATTACTTCAGAGAAAGGTTTGAATAAATTCAGTCTAAAGCTGAGTTTATTGTAGCAGAAGATTTTACTGCAGTGATGTGTGCTTTTTGCAGGGGTTTAAATTATGAACATGATGTTATGACTGAGCTTTAGACACAGTGACAGGATAGTAGGAAATGCTATCTCACTTAAAGAAGAGGTACATTGCATGGAAATGTGCAAATAATTCTGGTTCTTCTGAGTCAGGCTTCCTTTACCATGAAATAATAGCCAAATGCTCCATTTTTCCATGGCTCTTCCCTGTGGGGTTGCACATGGCAAAATAGGCTGTCCCTCAGCAGAGGAACACAGAGCTTCTGCTCAAGGAAGATCAGGGGCACCTAGGGTTTAGTTTCCTCTTACAGGTCTGATATGCTGCTTTTACCAGCAATATCAACAACAACAAAGCTTGCTGAGGCTGAAGTTTCTATGGGGTCTGACTTGCTGGGTTTGATCAGCTATAGTTTTTTCCTTTTTTGTGTTACAATTAGAAAATGCTTTAGCATTATATCCTTCACATCCTTAACTCGTGTTCTGGCCACACCTTCACGCTTTAACAAATACACTGAGTGCTTTCAGAGGGCACCTGACTGTTCAAGGATTGCACACCACAGAAACAGGGGGAAATATCTGCGTGTCATTAGATAATGAGCTCTTAATGGAGTAAGAAAAACGAGCTCCTGGCACTTAGGTTGGAATACTCCAGAAATGTTGAGAAGTGGTGGTAGGAGAGAGCATATTACAGATTCTGGGTAGCATGTGAATGTAATTTCATCTCAATGAGAGACATCAGTGTCAATAAAACTCTTCTTTTTTTCCTATAAAGCTACTCTGATTAACTCTATATGCTGTTTACAGTTGAAAGATTATAGTAGTCAATAGCTAAATGTTTAGACTTAATGTTGAACTTGTAGAAATGTCACTATTTTTTATCCTTTGCTGTAGCCAGCTCTCAAACTATGATCACACAAGGGAAGCTTTTCTGTGAATAAGCAGATGGAGGAAAAATTCTGCAAACTGTCTAATTAGCAAGAAATCCATTTTAATTTAAAAGTACATTTGTTAGTATGTCTAACAAGCTTGATATGTGTCTAAATCCAGTATTGCCCAGGAGAGAGATTTATCCCACTGAAGTTTTGTTCCCAGAATTTCCCTGTATTTGCAGCTGGTTCTGCTGCTGTCCCAGATGTTTCCCAGCTGTCTGCAGAAGGACTTTTTCCAAGAAGCAGAGGTGAACTGTGGGTTGAGCTGCAGTACATGATTTCAGTGAATAATTCAGAGAGTTCCTGACTCCCAGTCAGTGTGAGCAGAGGATTCTTATGAAGTCCTTGATAAAGAGATCCAGTCTGTGGTATCCTGGTGTTGCTCCTGGGGAGTCTGTCTGCCCTGAGGTACACAAATCTGAGGCAGAATCTCATGCTGCTTTCATCAGGATGTACCTGCATACATTTAAAGAAAGGATTAGTCTTTTTAATTTCCTGGGTTTCAGCTCTGTCTGACTCCACAGGCTCCTGATCTGTCAGGGCTGGAACAATAGAGGGGGTGTTAGGAGGTTCTCACAGCACCACTCCCTCAGGAGAGCCATCTGAAGTTGTCACCTTCTTGCTCAGCATTTCTACAGTGTCTGTAATCCTGTAATTACAGGTCAGGGCTGCTTCCTCCCAGAGCACAGATAAGTTTCTGTTCTGCTTATTCTCCACAGCTGCAGAGCCTCTGCAGCTCCAAGAGGGAATTGGATCCTGTCCATCTCCACATGTCATTGGCATTGCTCTCCTGTCCTCCAGTGCTGTTTGTAATTCACTAGTGATGTCAGAACTGTTTAAGTTGCTGTTATGAATTTCAAATCACACTTGAACTTGTCAGAAAAGCAAAATGTGTAGGATTTTGAAAAACTGTCCCCTCCATAGCACTAAAAACTAAGAACTACTAACACTTCTAGGAGGGTATTATAATATGGGTATTATTTTCTGCATCCCTCTTAAGTTTGGAAGTGTTTAAAAACAAGTTCTTTATGGCCTTCACATTTGACCTGTGAAAGGAGGAGTTCCAATTTCCAGTTCTTATTTAAATTGTAGAACCTCCTCAAAGGTTTGGAGATGCCTTTTCATCTGGGAACTATTGAAATTCTTCTGAAACTCCTGACTGTAATACACACATAGATACGGAAATACTGAGGAAAACAAAATAACAAATCTCCCCCCAAAACCCCATAATCAAACCAAAAGTGAGCTGTAATTTTTTTCTGGTCTCGCTGCGCCATTCTTGAAGTTTTCCCAAAAGTAATCAGTCTTACATTGATACTGGAACTGGGCAATTTATTTGATTATCCTCTAAATTTAAAAACAAGGAACCGAGTATGAACTACCAAGAGTTTGGGGTTTTTTTACATACAATATATGCTGCTGCTTGCTTCATTGGCTATCAGCAAACATGTATTCCTCTGCAGGCTGGTTTTGGTAAAAGCTGGAAGGCTTTCATTGAGCAGAGCCAAAGTTCTTTCTCATTTGCTTTTGTCCACTCCAGGAAGCTTTCTTTTGAAAACATTGTATTTTCCAAAGCAATTCTGTGAGTGTCCCTGTACCAAGTGAAGAAAGAACTTGGTGCCAAAAGGTGTCCCTTTTCTTGGAGAGCCCAATACATGGGAACGGTCAAAATGTCATAGTAAGAGATCTTGTCTAGATTGACAAGAAAGAGGCAGGACAGTGTTCAGGCAAAACCAGGCAAGAGCCTCAGATATGTGCAAACACAGTTTCTGCTGTCAGTGAGGGGTGAGCAGGGGAAGATTGGAGCAAGGCACATTAACAGGCTCTTCTTTTGCTTCCTAGAATTACCACGACAGCTGCCTGCATGATGGACCTCCGGAGATATCCGCTGGATGAGCAGAACTGCACGCTGGAGATTGAAAGCTGTAAGTACTTCTGCAAATCCTTCTTATTCTGGGGCAACTGCTTCGGAGGCTTTATTTCTGTTGGGCTGTGTTTTTTGAGGTTTTGTTGGGTTTTTTTAACATGCTACTAACCTAGTTGTCTTTCTATCTGATGACATTTAGATCCTTGTAAGCACATGAGAAAAAAATAGCTCTCCAGATGGATTAGTAATTTCTGGCACCAGGATTAGCAAAATTTATTCTGTGTCTTGATGGACAATTTACAGCTTTAAAAGTCTCATTCAAGTGCCTTGTTGGAGTTCATGTGAGGAGCACAAGGATTATTACCAGTTCTTTATCCTCCTTTACTGCTGAACTGTGGGGCAGCTTGTTTCCATTTATAAATGAAGGCAAGAGGTTACAACTGTCCTTGAAATAGGTGGTTTGTGGTTTGCTTTTTCCCTAACCACTGTGCTGTAGTTAAACTTTGAACATGTGTAACACGGTTTGTTTATATACACTAACCTAATGGCTGGTGTTTTACTGAACTTGTGTAGATAAAACTTGTGAATTAAAACCTCTCCTTTCTCCAAAAAACCTTTAGGGATATATATCAGAGCAAACCCAATTCATGATTCCTTTTATAAAGACAATATTGCAAGTGTGTTTCTTGACACTCTAAGATCATTATCAGCACTTTGAGGATTAATGTCACACTCGAAGATACAGTAGGCAAGTATGTGTATTTTTAAAGTATCTTCTGTGCTATGAACTATTATGTGGGTTTTCTGTTTGCACTGAAGTACAAAATAATAATAATTTGTGCTACAGTGGTTTAGAACTTGGTACAGCTGAACTTCTTTCTGCTATTCTAGAGAGCATTTAAGAGCATGGTTTACATTTGTGTCCAGGTTTCATTCATTGCAGTTCAGTAATTTCCAGGTGAGTTAAAACCCTTGTGACACTGTTGTGTGAAACACTTTACACACACAAAGTGAAGGAAGTGAGACTGTCAGTAAAGCTCACCCCTTCTGTGTGGTGACATTCACAACAGCAAATGGGATGATGCACTTTGGTCTTCTGAGATTAGGTCAAATATTATTATTGTTTGGGGGGGTTTGCAGTTCATTATAGAATTTCCATTGATATTTGATTCAGAATTTCATACCTGCAGCCAAATACTACATTACCAGTCTGTCAGGCTGAATATAATGTGCAAGAAAACTACAGGCATAATTGGATTCAGGTTTACAGAGATTTTTATTGAGAATGTTTTTGCTATGACAGTGTCCTTTAATTGTTGTTGTAGCAAGGACCTGGAATTTTTCTCTTTTCCAATTAAGTGTGTAAGGCAGGAAGATGGAGAGTCAGAGGACATCCTTTCTCTCTCTTTCCATCGTTGTTTAAATGGTCAGCAAGGTCTTGCCATCTCCCTGCATTGCTGAGATGACTGAATCTTTGTGGGATTCACAAACTAGATATCCCCTGCCTCTCACCCTTTCAGGACCTACCCTGGGAAATATTCCCAGGAAGTATCTGCTGGGTCAGTCCTTATGCAAAACTGAACATTAAATTGCTTCTCAGTGAGAGCCCTTGGTCTGGTTCAGACTTAAAACGTGGGACTTACAGGTTGAAATTTTCCTTTTATCGGATTTGGAGTAGCGAGATCAGTTTGAAGCCAGATCAGTTATCTTTCAAGAAGCAATCCTAAAAACAAGGTATGGAGCTCTCAGAATAGTTTTTCAGCTTGGTAGGAAGCCCCAGGTCTCATGGTATGACAGAGAGGGGAGGAGTTTGATTTCCCATGGCAGTCAGGGTGCTCTTAGCAGAGGTCTCTCGTGGGTCTCTGAGCTCTGCTGGGGCATCACAAAGGTCAGCTGGGTTTAAATCAGGATGCTGAGTGCAGCTGGCTGTCTCACTGCAGGAACAGAGGCCATTAAAGAATGGGCAGAAAGGTAACACTTGACCTGTGTTTTGAAACACTTGCATGCTGTTTTAGGAAATGATTGCTCTTCGGATGCGTCATTGTGTTCAGATGAAAAGCAGGCTGTCTGCTCTGCATGAATCACTTCAGACAGAAATGCTGGTAGGGAGATAGGCAGGATGAATAAGATTGAAAGGGACGTCTGAGTCATTCAGTGCAGGTACTTGGGTCATAATCCCTCCTTTAAACTGGTTAAATGGAATCCCTAAAGCAGCTTGGTTTCTTGCCCTACTGATCCTGTTGGATGCCTGTTTCACCACTGTTCTCTTGTGATGGTTAGATATTCCCTAAATTCTACCCCAAGTGTTTTCATGGCTGTGAAGGCATGAAATTAATACCCACTGCTTGTGCAAAAAATTTTGTTTAGTTCAGTGTCTTCCCCAGCCCTGCTGGGACCTTCATAACATGTTTAATGAAAATAGTAATAGGTTCTCATGGGCTGCGTTTCATGGAAGTGAATATGCCAGTCTCCTTTTATCTTTCTCATACAAGAGTATGTTAAGAGAAATGCAGAGCTAGCATTAGTTCTCCCTTAGGAATAACTAGGATCATAAATAGTGTCCCAGAGGGAATCTCTGTTACGCTATGGCATTAATCCCACCCTTCTTCCAAGAGCCACCTCTGCTTTTCTTCCCAGCTGCACAACTTCCACATGATAGTCTTTCCTGGAACAGTACAGTAAGGTCTTTCCCTTCCTAACTCATTTTTCAGCAGTGGGTTCTAGCTTTTGGTAGGTTTTTTTTTTTTTTTTGCATAATGCTAAGAAAATATGACTTGGCATTTCCTCACACTGTTCACGTAAATCAATGTTCTTAATATTACTACAGTCCTCAAGGTTATCCAGTTCTTGTTTTATTTGTTTGGATTATCCTTCATTTTAGCAGTGCCTGCAGATTTAGTTTCATTAGAAATTTCATTAACACAAAAATACTAAAGAGTATTAATGCCAAGAAGGAAGAGCTTTGCTTGTAATCATTCTGTACTGAGCATGATCTGTTCCTTCAGTGCAGCACAATTTCCTATACACCTTTGATATACCTTTACTAATTGCCTGTTCTTAGATAGTCCAACATCAAATGTTTTAATGAAGGCTTGTTTAAAAAAAGGAGTTATTGTCTAGCCAGTCATTTGAGGGAAGTCATTATAGATTTTTATCCCATTTCCATACATGTTCCCATCTTTAATGTCCTTCCATTCTTTCTCTGCTTCATTCTTCCTTTCCTCCCTCCTCCCCTCACTGATGCCGGACTGGAATGCCTTCTTACACCCCTGTGCTACTTTCTGTTCTCCCTTATCATTGTGTTTACTGAGTTTGTGGCCAACACCAAGTTTTTGTTAATCTAGATTATCATAACTCTGTTTTTTGAATTACCTATTCTAGTTGAAAAGGATTGGATATAAAATACAAAACATGACCTAGAGGAGGTGGTATCATCTCTTAAGATACAAGAGACAGTGTTTTCCCTGTCCAAGTAGTCTCGATGATCTTAGATGCTGAAAGTGTAAGAGAGGACCATTCTCTGTAGTTCAAAGAGTGTCAGTTTTGGGATCTGAAATCCTGTTTTTTCATGTATGGCCCGTTCAGTCTGAGGTCAGTGTTTGCTTTGCTCATCCTTTAAAGCAGAGGCTTGTTAAAAGTTCAGGTTTGTTACGATGCTTCTGAACCTGCGGGCCATCATTTCCGTGGGGTTGTAATCTGAGCTCTTCTACTTCTCCCTTTCTTTTGTTGTTTCCCAACACACTGAATAGTAGGTTTATAATACCAGAGGGAAATCAGTTTTCCTATGTATTCATTTTTTAGTTTCCCAGCTTGCAGGCAACAGAGAGCTTTTTCCTCTTCAGTCAAATATTGACTTGACTCAGTAAATACCTTTCCTTTCTGCTGCCCACCTCTGCCACCACAGCTTGCAGTGCTGAGTTTCTGATTAGGCTCTAGAATAATTTTATTTCTCTGCTGTTTCCTGCCTCTCTGGAATTGTAACTATTGAAAGGAACGTCTCAGCTAACCAATCATAAGACTAGTGGGAGCTCAAAGGCAAAAAGAAGTACCAGGAAGTTTGAAGAATAGTTCATATTCTTATTAACAAAAAAATTCTCTGTGGCACATCCTCCAGCATAACAGATGATTGTGATTCTTTTGAATATTTTTAAATGCTGTCATTCAAGATTCATCTGGTACATTTAGGCCTTTGTCCGTTTCTGTTACGTGGTGCCACATAAAGGCAAAATCTTACTTCAGTTCCTTCTTCTCTTGTTTTATGATGTGTTTGACCTGGCTGTATTTGTGTTCTAATGAGGTGAAATTCAGGATCTGCCTGCCTTGTGACAGTGTGCTCCCCCTCCCCCCATTGCTTTATTGCTGTGGCACAAACAAGAACACACTGAGTTTCTCCTTAGAAGCAGATTCTCAGAAGTATTTTCATAGTGTGTTAAAGATGTGGCATCATAAAGGTGCATTAAAGCCCTGCTGGTGGGAGCCTTGGCAGACAGGGAGCGTCCCCTTGGATGTGCTGCCCAGGGAAGGGCACTCCAAGCAGCACACACGGGCAGGGAAGACTGCTTTTTCAGGAATGAGAAATATTTACAGGGCATTTCAGTTCTGTAAAAGCCTGGGCTGTTTGGAGCAGAAACCATCAGATTGTTTTCCTATATGGTGACAAAAGGCCCCAGACACACCGAGGGAAAGCTGCTGTTCAGTGGGATTATCTGGGAAAAGCCAGGAGGAACGGAGCTGAAGGAGTATCATTGGCAGTGCAGCCCAGTATCAAACACTTCCTAATCAGCTCATCTGAGAGCTCGTCAACAGGAGAAACACAAGCCATCTCTGTGTGCTCAAGGTGACTTTACAAGTACATTTAAGGCGCTGGAAAGAAATGAAAGCAGCCTTTTGCTGGAGCCTTGAGTGCTTTGCAGATGGCAGCTCTGGCCACTGATCAAAGCTGGAATTGAGTCCCAGGGACAAATGGGACAACTCCAGGAGCTGACCAGGCAAGGCTTTTTGGGTTGGAGGCAAATGTGCTTGATGCCAGGCAAAGAAACTGCTGATTCCAGGGCTGGG